GTCTATCTTGCTTACTCTTATAGACTCTGTAGATCCTGATAAAGGTAATCAAAGGTCAATATGCAGAGGCTACATTAGAAGAGATAAATATGCTTCCCAGTGCCATAGACCCATATTCAGGGATAAATGTAGACTCTGTGCTTAGCTAATTGCTGAGACATAGACTTGAAGAGGAATGATAGATGTGGCATCTAGAAATGGCAATTGGTTGCTCATTATCCTTGTTTATATGTATTTACATAATCAGTTAAACTTTTAGAGTCACAGAACAAATGGTAGTTCTCATTTTCATTCACAGGTTTATCTTGGAAACATGCCTCATCTCCCTAGGATGATTTCCTGTCCCAGAGAGGACACCTTACACATGGCCTCTCCTTTTTTCTCATCCTTTTCCTTCCTTATTGGTGCTTGCTCAAATCTAATTCTCAATTCAGGATGAAATATTTCCTTATGCATATTCTCAACATTCATATGTAGAGAGGAAAGTAATGAGTACTAAGATAATCACCAAATGACTTTGATGTTGATAAATGCTTCTCCAGCTTTGAGGGGATCATTAAGAAAATATTTTGACTCTATAATCCACCTACTGTCCCAAAGAAATGGGTTTTTATAAAGTCCCCAAGCCAAAAAGTAACTATTAAACATAACTGTCTCCTCATAAAACGTCACTCCCTCTTGTAATCAATATAGCATGTTGACCTGATTTCTTTATTTCATAACACTTTCCTTAGAGATAAGTAGAATTTACATGCAGTTTATGCTTCTCTCATTCTTTTCTGGCTACCATACACTTTTGTAAGCTCCCTAATAATATTAGTTGTTTTATTTTATTTTGGTTTCTTCTGTTTAAGATAGCCATGGTTCATTTCTGTCTATTGTCATGTAGAACTATGATGGAGAAATCAAAAAATTCTCTGATTATCCCAGGAAGACACACAAACCTAAAAAAAAAAAAAAAAAAAAAAGCCCACCACCACCAATAACAACAACATCAACAAATAAAAACAAAACAAAAACAACTTTGTTTATGATAGGAGTGGTTGTAGTAGACATATGCTTCTAAATTAGTGTGGGCACTTACTCAACAAAACACAAATGAGACCAGGAATTTAATACAGTCATAAGAGATATACATGTGAAGAATTTCTGATGCTATTGGCATTTCTGTAAGATATAGTTTGAATATAATATGAGTATTGGTCTTAGGCAGCTTAGATTGCTGCTACAAAATCATATAAACATAATATGTAGACATTTTATTTCTCACTATTCTTAAGGTTTGCAAATTTAGTTCTTAGTGAGGACCCATTTCCTGACCCAATGTGCTTCTGGTTTAAGAAATATCCACCACAGGCTTACATTTTTGAACATTTGGTTCCCTGATTGGTGACACTGTTTGAGGATGTTACAGGATAATGCATTCTCATTGTAGGAAATACATCACTGGGGGCAGGCTTTGAGAGTTTATAGCCTTGACTCGCTTTCAGTTCACCCTTTCTGCTTCAAGTTTTGATTGAAAACGTGATCTGTCAGCTTCCTGGTCCAGCTGCTTCCTGCCATGCTTCCTCTGCCATTGTGGGCTCTCAGTTTGCCACCATAAGCCCATATTAATTCATACTTCTATCAATTGTCTTGATTACAATACAGTAACAGAAAGGCCACTAATACACCTGTGTGCTCATCTCTTCACAGAGTGAAGAGAAACCTTAGCCATTCTTGTCTTACACAAACTTCTGCCACATCTTCTAAGCCCTACTTTCATGTCTTCCTTCCAATCAAATTATTCATCAAAGGCCCCAAATATCATTATATTGGACCTTATCCCTTTAGTATATAAATTTTAGAGGGATTCATACATTCAGTTCATGTATGCTGTCAGAAATACGTCAGAATTTGTTTCAGAAACAAATAATTGGCAAATTGTTTTACTGTCCTATTACTGCTACAACAAACAAAATTGGTGTTCTTGGCATAGTCATATGTTCTATGTCCTTTTTGCTGTCATTTGATAAGTTAATAGACTGTGGAGGTGAAGATGTAGACATTTTGTCAGAATAGGGGGTCTTATTCTGTCTCCTATACTATGTGTGGGCTCAGTACTCAGTATTGCCCAATTCATTTTTGTCAACTATGTCATTTTTCTACATGAGAATCTTCTTGCTTCCCTGAAGTTAGTTCTACCTTGACTCAGATGGAAGAAACCACTGATTATCACAATATGCCTAAAGGCAAGTCTGCTCTTGAAGATCAATTATTTATGGACATTTCAAATAATCTCTTGGCAAGAATAAATAAGTGAAAGTAACCCATTTCAAAGAAAAAAGAAATAAGAACACTTCCATGAACTGATTATATTTAATTTGCAAGATAATGAGTTAATAGAGAAACCAGAACAGACTCTTTTTCTTCACATGGATTAATGGAATAACACATGCTTGCAACCATTTTGTTCTGTTGACATTGACTACTATCTGTTGAGCTCATGGGAGAATAAATGAAAGGACCAGGAATCTGGCTCATATACACTCTATAATGCTGGTGTGACATTCAAGCAGTTGTTTTAAATGAAATGCAACATGTGTGAACAATAAGTGTTTGTATTTTTAAAAATCACATTGCCTAAATGGATTATAAAGCTCATATTTGGTGTGAGTTTGCCATGTGTTAGGTGCTATATGTTCTTTAAAAATATTGTTGCATTAAGTATCCTGGATTGTCTTATATTTAGAAGAGGAAACTGGGGTTCAGAGAAGTTCATAGTTAGGCCAAAGAACAGGAATCCTATGACTATCATTCTCCTAACTCCTTCATAAAATTTTCTCACATGGGGAATGTTTAATATCCAAAGAATTCAGGCAGTGATATAATTAAAAAAAAAAAGCCTGAAATCATGAACAGAAAGCTACATGAAACCTAAGATTAGAATTAGTTAGTACTGCATTTGATTATTAGTGCCAAAATAGAAAGTTTAAATTTTGAGATAACATTTATACATTAGGGAAAGTTTTACAGACTTAAAATAAATCCAAGGGATATTTTATATAGACAGCTGATATGGTCAGATTGGTCTCCTCTTGCAGTTTTTTTACTGTTTCAGTAAAGCTATGTCAGGGCCTTCTTCAATCTTTCCTAATTTCTCATTTGCTTTCAGCGTCTCATGCGTCTCCCCTTCCCTCCTGAGAAATGTTTTGATCTGGAGGAACCTGCCATACAACAGAATAGGTGGGTGCTTGTGCCCTCCAGTCATTGGAACATCATTGGACATAGATGGTTTCTAAAGTTTCTCCCAGTAGATTATGCTCGTATGGTGTGTGTAACAGGCAATGCTCATCTGACCCATGGTATTCCCCATTCTATATAATTGGGTACTAATTGAGCATGATCTTATTCCTGGCTTTTGTATAGCCTATGTCTTTATCATTGACAAGCTAGTCATGCTCATGCCTTTCATAGTTAGTTGTATAGTGTTCAGTTTTAAAAGTTTTAAAAATGGTTTTATATTTAAATAGTTGTATAAAGTTGGATATAATAGTTGTATAAAGTTTGAAAGACCCATTTGTTTAATCATAGCATCCTTGATGGAAGTTTTTCAGTTGTCGGATGTCTTGTGTCTTATTTCCTTATCACCCATTCTTTAGCCAATGTTTGGGTGAGGGTGGTAGTGTAATGGTCTTGCTTTGACATTCCCCATCTCCATATTGAGGTGATTCAGACAGATTTAATTGTCAACAAAGATTCTTGGGTGTACATGAGACTGATGGCTGTACTTTGACCCTTGCCAATACTCACTGAATACCATACACCTACAACAGCCACCTCTAATCCACAAATATATCTGCTCTTGTTCCTTGTGCCTAATGAGGTTTCCACCATTAAGTAACTCATCTGCATATTAGAAGATGAACTGAAGGGAGATTAATTAAGTCCACATATTTTGTACTGCCCCATGTCCATCTATTCATATTATTTTTTAGGACAGGAGCATGGGAAAATTCTAGACAGTTAAAATTTCTGGAATCCTAACTTCTGGTTTGGAATACCATGTTTCCTGTGAATGTCACAAAAGGACAGAGATGTTTTCCAGTTATGTTTCCACAGGAGCTATCCCACAAGAAGCCCAGGTACTAAAATCTTAGTCCACGGGTGTTAGCATCATTTGGAAAACTTATTGAAGTTGTAGGAATTTGAGCCTAGTGAGGAAGTAGACCACGGTGGATGTCTTTGGGAGCTACATCTTCTCCAAGGCTTACTAACTGTGTGTTTCTATCTTGAACTGCATAGCCTCTGCCACTTGCTTAGTCACCACTGAGTTGTACCTACCCACAAGCCCCAAAGCAATGGGAGCCAGGGATGATGAAGCACTGAAACCACAGGCCAAAAGGAATTCCACTGGTAATGTCAGGTATTTTTTTCTCAATCACAGAAAGTCTAATACACTTGTTAACCCTCTTACATATTACAGAACATCTTGGTTTGTACACTTAATTATTGGCTAAAAGAAAAGTATGTTTAGTTCTATAGGATTAGCTATATGTTTGTCAGCTGCTGTAAGGTAAAGCCACAGAGGAAACATTTATCTGCACAACTACAATCAACATGATGCTGATCACCACTGGACACACACACACACACACACACACACACACACACACACACACACACACACACCACAAGCAAGCTAGAGAGCAAGCTAGAGAGGAGACTTCTGGATTAGAACACTTGTACTTGGGCCACAATGGCCCCATCCACTACTGGGAGGAGTGCAGCTCGCTCTGCTCCACCTTCCTTAAGGCCTCAAATGAAGGACCAAACTAGGGCGGGAAAAGGCTGGAGCCTAGTAGCTCTGAGCCTGGCTGAATTCCCCCCGCTGTCTCTGATTGGTTAAGATATGGGAAGAAGCAGCGACCGGCCTCCTGTGGCTCTACTCTTCATTGGCTGGGAAGAGGTGGCAATCAGGGCTGGCTCAGGCTGATGCTCTAGCTACAGCTCTGCGCTGGTCTGGGTGCGCTGTCGCCGCTATAGTCGCTGTCTGGGTCTCTTCCGCGATACCCCTGCACCAAGGCTGCTTCCCGGGCTCTAGGCGCAGACACCATGGTGAGTGTTGTCAGGTTGGTCAGCGGGAACCTCACATCTAGCCTGGGTGGACCTTAACTAACAAGAGATCGGACTGCGTTGCAAGAGAAAGCCCGGGGCATCAGAGCGGAAGGGTGCAGGGAACAGCGCCTTTGGTGGGAGGTGGGGACAAATGATCTGCTGGAGCGCTTCAAGTCTGTGGGTCCCGAATGGGTCCCCATCGCTCAATGACAGTCTCGGACTTTGGGCGATTCTCAATTCTGCAAGCCGGTCAGGTGGGAGGCTCAGGGCTCAGGTCCCTTCGCTGTCCCTGTTATACCATGGTGACAGGTGAGCAACGGTGAGAAAATGGGGGAGGGGAGCGGTGGGGGCTGAGAATCTGATATCCGGGGTATCTCCCCTTTTAGGGTAGGGTACCCCGAAAGCGCAGTCAGAGGGAGATTGTCAGACCAGCGGAGCGGGGTGGGCAACACGCTGGAAAGGAGCAGGTCACTGAGCGCAGTCTCTCCCTGCCCTGCAGTACGGATTCGTGAACCATGCCCTGGAGCTGCTGGTGATCCGCAATTATGGTCCTGAGGTGTGGGAAGACATCAAGTAAGTGAACAGCCCTGCTCCCAGGGCCGCGCGTTGGCACCGCGCCCAAGCCTGCTTCCCTAGCTGCTCCCTGCAGGGTCGTGGTGCGCATCCTCCGGTCTCCGCTCCCACGCTCTGGAGCCTGGACCAGGAGAGGAGGGTAGGCCGGGGCGTGGCCCCCTGGGGTCACTGTGGCCTCTTCACCCAGACTGAGCGTGGGAACTCCCTGCCAGAGCGCTGTGGCTCCCAGGCCAGGTTCTGAGGGTTGGTCAGCTCCCATGCAGGGGCCATGGCAAGGTCTTGGGACCAGAAGCAGGAAACGAACAGAAGACTTGAGCTCCTCTGAGAGTTACACACCTGGTACACATAATCTGGTTAAAAATTATTTGGGTATGCTTCAGTACATTCAGAAATTATTTCTCCAGTAACTTATGTGAAACATGTATTTAATAAAGGAACCTCTCCCCTATAACTTCCCCCCAAATCACCCCTGTTTTGCTGTGTGTTCTCCTAGCAGGGCACCCTCGTTTCTGTAGAGCTTTGAGCCTGGTACACAGAGATGGGACTGGAAAATACACTTATCTGAGATTTTAAGACGCTGGTCACTTCTTAAGCTTTTATGGGTCTCGCTGCGGGTAAGGGTTTTCTGGGGACTGAAGTCAGAGTCTTGTGCGTGACAGGCAAATACGATACCACTAAGCAACCTGAATGACATTTAGATTTTTGAGGCAGGATTTCCCTATACACAACGTGGGCTGTCCTGGAACTGCCAATCTTCTAGGCCTCTCCGAGTACTGGCATTAGAGGAATGCATCACCATGCCCAGAGGAGCATTGCAATCTCTCTGAATTATCTTTCCCTCTCTCCCTTGTTGAAACTCGCATTTAACTCTTATACAGCTGAGTGTTGCTACCAACTAACAATACTAAAATCACAGGTAGGCATTATCACATTCTAACTGGTCAAGGATAGTGGTGAAGACTAAGAAGGGCAAGAAGGGAACCCATTTCTATTAATTAAGTTTATGTACTCACTGATGGCACAGGAGCCCTTGCTATTTTTCTCAGCACAATTTTATTACCAATCAATTTCAACAGGCTTTATTATTCAGTAATAGGATGGTGATTTTACTGTAATTATCTGTTTCCATAGAAATGACCAGGTCTACAATGTAGGCCCTAGAGCACAGCACTTTCCTCCAGCTCTCTTGGCTATGAACTTTTAACTGATGCTCCAGAAGCCTTTCATGTTGACCACATTTACATTATTTGCAGGGCACATCTGCATCCTATTTTAAAAAAAAAAAAAAAAGAAGAAGTCTAGGTGAGGCAGTTAAATTAAGGTCAATTTGGGATTGTAATTCTCTTTCAACTTTATTCATTCTTTCAAAGTTTTGACTTTCTGTGAAGACAGATACCAGGGCAGACACCAAGAAAAAATCCTTATAGTGTAGATGCATACAAACCACTTTCTTTGTGAATGAATGAAGGCAACAGCTCACCCCCATGTATTAGCCTTCATCTTTAGAAGTGGAGTCCGCAAAGTTCATGGTAGATAAACTTTAACAATGGATGTGTTTACAATTCCAAGGGTACAACAATAATCACTGTGCAAATTTAATAACCACTATGGAAGTTTAATAAAACTTAGAATACACATCAATGTGGGTAATTAGTAAATGTAGAGATCAAAAAATTAAGTTATCAAGATATTTGTGCACGGTGATTATGATCTAAACATACATAAATTCTATTGATGAAAACTTAACTTCCAAGTGGTGGCTGAAAATAGTTCAAGTAATTTGTACACACACACACACACACACACACACACACACACACACACACACACAGGAGACTGGTTCTTGGAATATAATTTTGAATGAGTGGAAATTACTATGTAGTTGAGGCTGACCTTATTGTAACAACAGTCTTTCTGACTCTGCCTCTCACATGCCTGGACGACAGACATGTGTACTCACCTTGAAGTATGCTTGAACAATATTCTTTAATTGGTCAAGTAATAATAATTCCAATCATCTAAAAACACTTCTGGTAAATATGAGCCAGGTTATATGGATGGTTTTCCTCTGGAATTACTCTAAGGATGGTGCCCTTGTAATAGAGGAATAGAACCAGTGTTGGCCCCACAATTGCTTGTTTTCTCTTTTTTGGAAGGCATCCCTCAAGAGTATCATGGGAGCAGTTTTGTGTATGTGCTGTGGAGTCTGGCTTGGCTTCCTGTACCTAAGAAACAAAAACTGTTCCTTGCTACCCTGTTTGGTTTCCCCAGAGGTTGCTGAATGCTTCCTGGAAGAGCATTTGCCTAATCAGCAGATGTTTACTGAGGGTGAGAGAAGGCTATTGCCATGAAGTTGCCTCCTCCCCTCCCCTCTCCTCCCTTCCCACTCCTGTGCACTCACTGAAGCCATTGTCCAAGATGTTTTCAGTTTTAACTCTATGGAAAACTCATTGTGTATGAGAACTTTTTATCTTTTTGCCCCTATAAGAATCCAACTTTTTCTACCTTCATTGGTCTGTTAAAAATTGTCTAAATGAATATTCAAAATGTGTCATGTAATATTATTTTAGTATAGTAGGAAGTGGACATCCATTCTTTATTAGAAAGGAAACCAAAACTTAATGACAAATAAAACTGTAACACATTCCAGACAGAAAATTCTGGATGGCTATGAGCAGAAAAATACCTCCTTGGAAACTCAGTGTCCACATTTTATCAACAGCATCACCATTTCACAAGCACTTTGCCTTCTCTCTTCAGGAAAAAGAAAAATTGCCCAAAACCAAAGCCCAGGAATCTCTTAAAGGGACAGACAGAAAAAGTTTAGTATCTGTGCCCAAGACCAGCTACAGGTCATTGTGGATATACCTGTATAACTGCTCAAATGTAGTCATGTAAATGGTTGTGGATGTATCTGTATAATTGTTCAAATATAGCCATATAAACTTCATTGTTACCTTGTGGACCAGGGAACATCCAATGTTCTGAATTCAATGTCCTCACCCACTTCCAATCTACATAGTAACATAAAATAGTGAGAGACACACCCTGCTCCCAAGTATGCTTCAGATCTTGTTTTGTAAATTGTTTTGAATTTTCAGATGATCCTCTTAAAGAAGCCATGGTTCCTAAGTGATGATAGAAAATATCCATCGTTCATGTATTAAAATATCTTCTAAATGTGTAATAGGTCTGCCTCTGTTATACTGGCATCAACCCTGGTTAACCTGATAATTGCATCATGCCAGTGAGATCTGAAAGTCTCTGCCTACCCTGGCAAATATACAGATTCTAAAGATGGCTTCAAATGGTTGGAAATTCTAAGATGATTAAAAGTCTATTGAAGACAAATGACAGACGTAACTCAGGGGTAGGATCCAACATACTACAAAACACAACCACACACGCACACACCCACACACACTCACAAGACACCTTTAAGAAAATTCTACATATTTGCCCACAGATGAACAGGCCAGAGTATTGATTACCTTATACCGATTTTCTGAGAAATTAGAGATAAGCAAATAAATTCAAATATTGGTATGAAAACTATAAGTTCTATAATCATGTAATATCGCTTTAGATAACAGATGCTGTTGTCAATGTGCTGTCAGTCACTTTCCATGTGTTTTTGTATGGCTTTGCTCAAGTTGCTGCATATGTCTTCATTCATTGGCTCTTCTTCTTTTTTGTTTATTTTTAAGCTTATCTTTAATGAACATAGTTTAACATTTCAGGCTCTGAGGATAGAAAAGCAAATGATGTCATTCTTGCCTTGAAAAAGTCTAGAGATATCAGGATATTTTTAGTCTTAATCATAAAAAAGAAAGAAACCCTTTCCTGTCTGTCACTCAAATAAGGATATGGCTTTGACTGTTGGATAGCATGTACTGAGCTTCAAGTTTGATACGCATATAGTAGTTGAATTTGCTAATTGTGAATTAATATTAGGGCCCAAACAAGCAATTTAAAAAAAAATACAGTAGATACATGGCTTCTTAACCTGCTTAAACTTTCCAAGTCTTAGTTATATAGGGGAAAATTAATAACTGTTTGGTTTCTGCATACATTCAATATTGTCTGTAAACATGCTTAATATCATTCTTAAGTAGCTGCCAAAGTAATGGCATGTATTATTTTCCATTTCACCCTGTGAACTGGGTTTTTCAGCTTCTTTCTGGGGCAGTACACCTGAAAGATGTGAAGCTCCTTTTGAATAACAGTAGCCTGGGTCAAGGGTTTGGCTGAATACTAAGGAGCTTGCCTAGCACTTTATACCCAAACAAAATACCAAGAACAATAGCTCATTGTGTCTGCATTCAATTCCAACCAAAATGTCTTCACTTACTTTTGTTTAAGTCCTCAAATCATTCCTCATTTTTTCCCCCTTCATTCTATCATGCACTGGCTCATTCTATCATGTACTGGCTGCTCTAATTTGTTTTGGATTATCTCTTGCCCTTTCTTCTTTCCTCTTGGTCCTTATCATCTTCCCTCTCCTGCCACTCAAATAACTCTTTTGACAGGTTCTGTGTCTGCCTTACGCTCATCCTCTGTGTTCTGCAGACTGTAGGAAGATGATTATTTTACTGTGCTATCTCCATTGCAATTCTCTAAGCCATTCCCATGTCCCTAATACATTTTGCTGTTTCTAAAGTTTGCATATGCTCTTAATACTGATTTTTATCAAAGCAAATTAAAGCAAGCAAACTAGGGCATCATCATAATTTGCCATGTTTTATGGATTTTTCACATTCATTTTGGGATGAGTTAAATTTCTACACCGTTCTATACTTGAGTTCAAGTAGGAAAAAGGCCATGTGTTTTTAAATATGAATGGCACTTTATATTCTAAAGCTACTTAAACTTTCTAGGGCTGTTTCCTCTTTGTATTTTCAGCTGAGTGCTTCAGCATCTATTTGAAGAAGAAAATGTCTTTATAGCTTAACCTGTTTGTCATTGTTGTCTTTTCTTTTTTTCACTATGAAGTTGTAGTT